TTCTGTTGGCGAATGACTAGGAGGAACATCAGCCAACGCTTCAAAGCAACCAAGGATTTTCTCGTGATGGCAGGCGCCTGGACTTGGACCAGCCTCCGGAGGAGTGTATCACTTGAGTTGGGGTCAGCCTTGACTCGAGGAGGAGAAGGAGGACGAGAGCAGGGGGACGACGACGACGACGACGAGAAGGAGGAAGCAGGAATGAGGAGGACGGCGATCGACCCGCGCGGGTAGTTACATGGTTGGGGGAGGCCGCGAAGCTGATGATGCCGCAGAAGCTGATGATGCCCCCCGTGCGAAAAAAGGCAGGCCTCTCAGTCGCCCCCGAGGGGGGGTGTCTGAGCGCGTTCGCGCGCTCCGCCACGGAGAGCGGGGTCCGGCGCTGGGCGGGCGATGCCCTCCACTGGTGAGGTCAGCTGGGGAGCTCGGAGGGCGATGGCCCCTCCGAGCCTTACCTCCCTCCCTCCCTCCCTCCCTCCCTCCCTCCTCCCTCCCTCCCTCCTCTCCTCCCTCCCTCCCTCCCTCCCTCCGCCCGAGCCCCGCCACGGGGCTGCCCGCGTGGCCGCGGGCCTCCGTCCCCTCGTTCTCCCGGCGGGGGGGGGGGTCGTCGGCACCGGAGCGAGAGACGACCGGCGAGGGCCCTTGGCGCGGGGGGCACGGGGCGGCCAGGCAGATCGGCGAGAGGGAGTTTGCAGAGGAGTCGCAGCCCCCCTGATCGGCCACGAGCCCACGGGGGAAGTCAGAGGCGGCGGGCCTTCTCAGACGGCCCCCCTCGCACTTCCCCCCCCTGCCTCGCCGCCAACCTGAGCAGGCAGCTCTCTTTGCGGCGTGATCTCCAGGAGCCATGCCTGGGGGCCCTTAGAAGGTCATGCCACTTCAACTTCACAGCAACCCTCATAGTCATCTTCGCCATCATCCGTACCACTCGTAACATGAACGAAGGTCATCGTTATTATCCTTCTGGTGCGGAGCGCTTGATGGCGACAAGAGGACACGATACCAGTTCTCAGCAGGGCAGGGAGGCAGGGGAAGTAAATACGACTATTATAATCAATGGTAGTGACGACAGCAGGGACATGTAACACCAGCACGAGGAGGTGCTCGCCTGACCGGTCGATCACATATGGATGCATATAGATCGGAGGTTGGGGGTGAGTCCGACGTGAAACGGAGACCCCCCCTACCGGGAACTCGATTTCGGTTTCGGGTTCGTGTCGTGCGTGCCGTACGTGCGTGCGTGCGTGCGGGCGAGGCGAAGTTGCGTGGGCGGGCGAGAGGAAATTCTCCTGTGGCTGGGCCACGGCCGGACCAAAAGTTCCTCTACCGGCAAACGGTGGCCCGCGGTGTCCCGCTGGCGTCCCGAAATCCTCCTGTGGCTGGGCCGCGACCGGATCACAAGTCTCTCCGCCGGCAAACGGTGGCCCGCGGTGTCCCGCTGGTGTCCCGCTCACGATCACAATCACACTACTCACTAGTTTGCGCACCACAGGCATCGTCAGAACAACAGTCACCACTGTTGCACATTGCTGCCCCCCCCACCTCCTTATCACCCGCAGGGTGTTCGTATAGGTATTGGTAACGGACGCCAGGGAAAGGAAGCTCAAAGCGCGTTGCAGAAGTCGTCGGTTGAGAGGTTTACCAGTGCAGCGATCAGGGATGGTTTCAAGCCGACATGTTTTGGGATTCCACCTGGCCGACTCACGTTCAGACCCATCTACACTCAACCATTCATGCCCATCCAGTCATGTTCCGCCATTTCTCTGTCTGATTGATTCATTCCTACAGTCAACCCGCATAGTAAGGATGAACAATTTCCCAAGGCTATCCTGGCATCCTTGCCCCTTCGGCGCATCCTCAGCGACTTTCGCTTGCCAACCTCGTTCGAAAAACGTTAACATGGCCCTCCAAGGCCCTTGCATCCTTAACGTGCATCCTGATCTTACGGATTGGCCGTACATTCGTTCGAAGGCAGATTCATTGACAATCCGACTCAGTCACAACCAGACTCGCTCACAGGCGTCCTCATACATTGATGCGGTCATGCTCAGACTTGCTCATACACAGACCGTTCGCACCCAGACCGATTACTCTGACCAATGCGAGGCAGGCGTCGCACTCTCGGGCCTCCCCAGGGGGGCCGACCAGGGGCGTTTCTCATGGGCCCGTCTGCGTCTGTATCTGTGGAGGCCCTCGGGTAGAACGCTCGTTTGGGGAAGCAGGCACGTCTCACGCTTCTGGGTGCAAGCGTATGCCTCACCCGCCCCGCTGGGGCTATGCACCTCGAAGACATAGCTCCGAACCGACCTCTTCAGAACCTTGTCGGGCAAATAACGCATCATGCGTTGTTTAATCGCTCCGCTCATTCCGCCGGCCCATTTAGCATCACTGTCCTCCCTCCTCCTCCTCCTCCTCCTCCTCGCCCCCTCTCCTGTCGTGTGGGACGTGTGCGGTGGCGTTCGGCCCTCTCGTGCAGCGCGTGCAAATTAAAGTCCTCGCGATTGCACTGGTGCAATCCGGCCAGGGCCCCGGGTTTGCAAGGCGTTCGAGGTGGGATCCGCGCTTGGTATTTCATGGAGAAAGAAAGGTGGTGCTGCAATAGAGTTCAAGACAGCTGCAGCAGAGTTTCGATATGCGCCCAGACAGTTTAACAGGGTTGCGGAAAGTCCCCAGGAGGCCTGAGGGAGTGCATATTTGCCCTAGAGGAAGTGCCCAGTGCGTTTCCAAGTCCTCTTGGAACCCTCCTGGGGCGTCAAAGCGCTTCTCGGGCCGTCTCCGTCTTGGGACCCACTTGGGCCATCTTGAAGGTTTCTTTGGCGCCTACTAGCGGCGGTGGGGGCGGTGCATTGTCGGGATGTCGCCCCTCGGCAAGGGCCTGCAAAACAGCGCCCCGATGACCGCTGTACCTCCCATATGTCTACATCCGACCCAGAGGAGAAAGCCAGCAGGGGTTACCCTGGTGCGGGAACAAAAATCAACAGGAGCAGCAGGAGGAGCACAAGTGCGAGCATGGGGGGGGATAGTATCTGGGAAACTCGGGTTCGCTCATGTTTTTTTGACGAGCCCGTCCTGAATTTTGATGGTCCAGTTTTCGTGGGATGTCTGCAACGGGATCCCGCGTCAAATTTCAACCTGGGCCGCGTCATTTTCATGATGGCCCTGTCGGGCCAACCTGAGTTCCCTGGCCCGAGTCTTACGTCTCCCCGGTGACAGAATGAAGGGGATTGGGGGCAGGAGGGGGAGAAGGGCGAGGAGCACGACGAGGAGGATAATCAGCAGCTGCTGGGGCAGAAGGGCACGAGCAAAGGGAGGGGGAGGAAGAGGACGAGGAGGGGGAGGGGGAGGAGGAGGAGGAGAGGAGGGGGAAGAGGAGGAGCGGGAAGAGGATAGGAGAGGAGGGGAGGAGGAGCGGAGGGGGAAGAGGAAGAGGCACGGGCAGAAGGAAGACGAGGAGAACACGATGGGGAGCCGCGGCAGCATCCGGCCGCCGCCGACAGGGCCGCTCCTCCCCCCCCCGCTGGGCCTCGCCGGGGATCCGACGCCCGCGCAGGCGGAGGCCCCCGCCGGCAAGAAGCCGGCCCTCACTGCGCTGGACATCCAGCGCATCCAGGATGGGCGCGTGGCGGCGCCGAGCGTGTACCCTCAGAGAAAGGAAAGCTACCCATACCTCTGCCCCTCTCTCGTTGTCCCCTCTCTGGGGCCTCCTGGGAAGTCCTCGCCGCCACCGCTGGATTCGCCCCGGAGTCCTGGTCGGAGCGCACCCCCAGGAGAGGTCCGGAGAGTAGCGGTATCGGTACCTCTTGGTTTCCCCACACCCGCCTGCCCAGCCCCGGGGCCCGAGTTCCCGCAGTCTTGTGGGTCCTCGTTGTCACTCTCCGTGTCCTTGTTTCCCGACGCGCCCCCTCCCGCGGCTCGCGTGTGCCGGTGGTTCGCCGAGAATGTTTTTGGGGGTTCTCCAATTCCTCGCACGCCGGGAGCCAGCGGTCGGGAGGAGCAAGGTCCTTCGGAGGCCAGCTGCACTTCGCGACCTCATGGCGAGCACCTGCCCAATCCAGTGCGTTGCACAATCGAGCATTCACAGGAGACGCCAAGGAGAGGGAACCTGATCAAATCCCCATCGCCACCGTCATCATCATCATCATCATCATCATCATCATCATCATCATCATCATCATCATCATCACCATCATCATCAGCATCATCCCCATCGTCGTCGTCATCATCATCAGCATCATCATCATCATCATCATTCCCATCACCATCACCATCATGTTCATCATCATGTTCAGCATCATTATGTTCATCATCATCATCATCATCATCATCATCCTAATCATCGTCATCGTCATCATCGTCGTCATCGTCGTCATCGTCGTCATAATCAGTATCACCACCATCATCATCATCATCATCACCACTATCACCATCATTAGCAGCACCGTCATCACCATCATCAACATCAGTACCAACACCAACACCAACATCAGCAGCAGTATCAGCATCATCATCATCACCATCACATCACCATCATCACCATCATCATCACCATCACATCACCATCATCACCATCATTATCATCATCATAATCAGCATATTATCCATACTCTGTTTCGTCCCGCCCTTCCTCTTTCCTCTCTGCCTTCCCTGGGCAGCCGTAGATGCGACAGCCTCTTGGCGAGTTCCGCCGCAGCCAACCCACTGGCAGTTGGGGGAGACGGGACGCAGCCGACGAAGTTGATGGCAGCCGACGGCGAGAGGACGAGAAGACAGCCAAGAGCGGAGAGGATTGACGGAGCGCGGGGGGGACGCCCGGACGTGTGCCCACCTGCCGCGGCAGGAGGGCACACGATGCAGAGCGCGAGGCCCTCTGGAGGCGGAGGCGTCGACCCTCCTCCTCTTCCTCCTCCCTCCTCCTCCCTCCTCCTCCTCCTCCTCCTCCTCCTCCTCCTCCTCCTCCTCCTCCTCCTCCCCACCTGCCGCGGCAGGAGGAGAAGGAGGCGCTGATGCAGAAGACCGCGGCGGCCAAGGCCGACAAGGCTGCCGCCGCCAAGGCCTGCGGCTCCGCGCCGCAGGGTGGGTCGGGCTCAGGGTTCAGCACAGCGCTCGGTCTTCCCGCCTCGTTTTCTCTCGTTCTTCGCCTCCCCGCCCTGTTTACCCCTACGCAGCAGCAGCAGATTTGTACTCCTCCTCCTCCTCCTCATCCTCCTCCTCCTCAGCAGCAGCAGCAGCAGCAGCATCATTATCATCCTACTCAACGCCTGTAAATCTGACAGCGAAGCAGTCGAAGCTTTCTCAGGGAGAGTCCTCACCGCCATGCGACGTGGTGAGCAGGCACGTGGGGACGATAATACATCTTCCATGACTCACATTGTCGCGCTGGTAGCGCAGCCGGCCGACGCGCTCATATAGGAGCGCCTGGGCAGTTGCAGCGACACGCTCCGCACGCTCAACGCGCTCGCGGCCCCTTGGTGGAGCCAGGGCGGCGGCAGCAGGTGTAGCAAGAGCTCTCTTTTGGCGGTGCCTTCGACTCTCGGCGCGCCAGGTGTCGGGGGCGACGGGCGAGGATCGGCATCATATGAGTTGCGGCTCCTCTTCCTCCTCCTCCTCCTCCTCTTCCTTCTCCTCCGCCTTTTCCTCATCCTCCTCCTCCTCATGCTCTTCCTCCTCCTCCTCGAGCGGTAGTTCCTTGTCCAGTGCCCTGCTTTTCACCTTGCTGGCCCGCTGCACGATCGGCTCAAGGCCTGATCAGTGCACCGTGCCTGCCTCAGACGCGCCTTAGACATGTCGCTTTCGACCAACATGCGCGGTATATCCTTAACGGAAAACACCGTGCCCATTCTTACATCTTGCCAATTGGTAGCGGAGCAGGCTCGTTTTTGCTACCACCACGGCCGGCATGTCTCGCCTCGTGTCGACCGCAACGGCTTCCACCCCCCGCCGCCTTCGACTTCGGCCAACCGCCTCCAACATGTACGCTTCAGTGCGTTTACTCCCTTTCGCTATGGCAGGAAGCGTTATTTTAGAGTCCGTCGGGGCTGTACCAGCCCATCCGCCAAGACCCGCGACCGGGAACGTGCACACCGCCTGCAACACCTCCGCCTTCGTGCATCGTTCCCCGTTCACCACGGAAGGAAACGTTATTCGGAAGTCCGTCGGGGCATCCGCCCATCCGCCAGGACCCGTGGCCGAACACGCGCACAACCAGTACCTCATCGAGGGCAATCATCTACAAAGACCGTTATGCGATCCATCCCGGGCATGCTCGCACTGTGCTCAGGCAGCTCGGGGACCCAAAACTGTCAGTTCCCACGCCCGTGGGTGTAGCCTCAGATGGTAGACAGCTGCTCGACAACGTTCACACTTTCGGTGCCTGAACAAGGTCCCGAGCTTCTTGGGACGGTGTTTCGACAGCCCTGGGAACAAGCAGTGAAGAGGCACCCTGCGATTGCGTCGTCAGTGCCGAGCGGGGTCGCAGTGGGGAGCATTGGAACTGTGTTTTTCACCCCCCGACGTCACGCAGTGGAGGGCATGACGACCGGGGCAACATCATTCCGAACCACAACGTTTCAGGACCCGACCGTTCGCTTTATCTACTCAGACCCGCCAGCCGGAAAGGACGGGATCCCGATGCGCACTCCTTTGGACGATCGTGCAACTGGCGGCGTTCGGCGCAGTGAGCACACGACGTGCGAAGAGCATTCCCGTGATTGTGTCGCGGTTCCGAGAACCGCGACCAGTACAGTGGCATGACAGAAGCAGACGCCGAATGCGTTGACGAGGAGGAACACATCCGGGGCAAGTATCCTCGGCGACTCGCGCAACGCCGCTTGAGGACCCCCGACCTCCAGCACTTCTACGACACGCAGACAGCTGCACTCCGGATGGAAGGCCGTCGGAGTAGGCGCGCTCGTCATCGCAAGTTGCATCGCCTGCATGGACGCAGGCGGTGGCAGCGGCAACATGCGCCACCTCCGCACCTGGGGGCCCGAGCACCAGGCTTACGTGCCTTTCCAGAAGTGGGCGCGCGAGCTGGTGAAGAGGGGAAATGAGAGAGCGATTGCCGCTCTGAGGGGTGCGGCCAGTACTGTTGCCAGTAGTGTTCCACCGTCATCCCAACTTTCCAAAGTCCGGTTCAGCCAGCATAGGAGTTTGTTGTCGGGGGGGCCCAGGAGATGAAACATAGCAGTTTGTTCCCGTCCCCCGGAGAAAACCCAGCAAACGTTCCCCCAAACGACATGAACAGTGGCGCAGACGTGCTGGATGTTTGATCGACTTCTTGTTGAGAGCGAATGTAGTTGTGAATGGTGCCCGAACGATCCCCCGACGACCGAATCAGGTGGCAAGATGCGGCCATACCGCCAAACATCTTCAACGCGCTGCAAGTTTGTATATGAGGAGCCTCAGACACCCCAGAGAGTTCTACTCTTCTATTTTCCGAAGTTTCCTCCTTGTCCTCCTCCTCCTCCTTCACTGCGCTGAACATATTCACCCTTCCGGGTTGAAGCATTATATGCAAGCTTCCGAGCCCCCCCCCCCAGGGGCGGGCGTACGTACACCGTGGCGTAGCGTGAACCATAATTTGAAGCCCACCAGATGCGAACGCCGACCGTGGTTGGCAGGGCGCGTGATGATCGCTCGCACCGCGCAGTAGGCAGGGCAATGGTAATGATGATGATGATGATGATGATGCTGATGATGATGATGATGTTGCTGATGATGCGGATGATGCGGATGATGATGATGTTGATGATGAGGAGGAGGAGGGGGAGGAGGAGGAGGAGGAGGAGGAGGAGGAGAAGAAAAAGGCATGAGAGCGAGAGTAGCGTTGGGGAGGAGGTGCAGGATGAGGAGCAGCAGAGCAAACAGTATGAGAAGGGAAAAACGAGAAGAGGAAGGGGGAGGAACTGAACGAGTAGGACTAGCAAGGCCGTGGGGGGGGACGTGCCTGGCACTGGCGCCCCGCCCGAGGCCCCGCTTCCAGCCGAGGACGACTTCGCCGAGCTGCGGCCGGGGGGGGGGCAGCAGCATGAGGCACTACCCACTCGGGCACTTCCCTCTCCCACGTGTTGTTTCCAGCCACCACGCGGGGGAAGCCATGCGCTAGCGAGAGGGCCAGATTCTCTGGATTTTCCTAGTGGGCGCTTTCGCCTCGACTCTATTGTTCAGCGCGGATCCGCCCCGACAGGCCACCCCCGTCGTGTTGGTCAACGTACGGCCCCCCTCCCAGCGGCTGAACTACCCATCTCGGATAGGTCTTACGGCGGGTTCTGCCGACCCTGCCCCAGGAAAGACGCAGACTCATACATCGGAGGGGGTCTCTTGGAAGGCCTCTGGGAGGTATCCAACTGCCTGCGGTAAACCCCGCCACCGCGCCTGTGCAACAACGCATCAGGAAGGCGACTAAGTGTGGGAACAGCCGCAATCCCGACGACAGGTCTGAACTGGAACGGATCGTTAATTCGATGTTGTCTTCGTCCGCGCGGTAGGGGGGAGGTCGAATTCACGCCCCGTTGCAGTTCAGCGAGCAGTCTGGATTGAGGCGGGTCGTGAATTAGACCTCATCTTCGCCCGCGCGGCCTGTAGGTGGTGGAGGAGGAGGAGGAAAAAATGAAAACAAGGACGAGAGGGCCTCTGAGGGCTCTGTTGAGGCCTCCTGCGGGCCGTTCTTGGGCCGTCTTACGGGGCTCTTGGCCCGCCTGACGCCTTCGGAGGCCGTCTTGGTGCCCTCTTGGAGCGTTTCAGGGCCTCTTTGGGGTCCTTTCGGAACGACTTGATGCCTTCTTCTGGGCCTCATCGGCTGTCTTGGAGCTATCTTGGATACCTCTTGGGCCGCCTTGGGCGGTCGAAGTTCCAAACAGGCGAGGAGAGCTTCAGAATCAGTCAACAACTGACGGGAAACCAACGTTGTTCGCCTCCTCGGGCTCTCCTGAACGGCCTCGTGGGCCCCTCTTGGGCCGTCTTGGGCGTGTCTTGCGCCGTTTTGAGGCTGTCTTAGAAGCCTCTTGAGCCGTCTTGGTTCATCTTGGTGTTATCGTGGCTGCCTTGGAAGCCGACCTGGAGGCCATCTTGTCCGGCTGGAGGCCGAAAACACCGCCGGATAGCAAGGTCAGGGGGCGGACGTTTTTTTCGACCATGCGCGGCCTTAGAAAACACTAGGAAGCCTCCCAGACAACAAACGAGCATTCTAACACGCCCATTCCGTGCAGGGTGGCGGATTTGTTAGGCTTCCTAGGGCCCTTTGGTAGCGTCTTAGGGGGTCTCAGGGGGTTCTGGGCAGTCTTTAGGAAGGTTGCTGGCTGTTTCTGAGGCTCTCGTTCAATGAATAGCTCGAAATTGCAGTTCGAGTTCACCTCTGGAGCCCCTCTTGGGGACCTCTTGGGGGGGGGCTTCTTGGGCAGTCTCGGGCCTTTTGTAGGCTGTTCGGGTGCTTTATTGGGGACCTCTTCAGGTGTTTTGAGGCAATTGTTGAACAATCTTCTTGGGCGGTCGAAAGCCTGCAGAAGCGAGAACGCGAAAATCTATCAGACACCACAGGGGGATTGTTGATTTTGCCTTTGGGGTGTCTCTTGGAGCCCTCTGGGAGCGTGTCGGGGATTCCTGGGGCCGTCTTGAGGCATCTAGGACCGTGTGAAGCGCTCTTGGATTGCCTCGGGCCCTTCTTGGACCGTATTGAAGCTAGGTTGCCGAAAAAGTGCCACATTGGCCCGAACATAACCCGAAAGGGGAGGGAGGGCAGGACCCCCCCGCCCCCCCGCGGAGCGGGAAGGGATCTAAGAGAACAAGCGTCCTTTTCGACTCAATGACGACCTCGGTTAAGACCTGGCTCGATTATGTTCGGGTTGGCAAGCCTGGAGAGCCACAGGTGGCTGCTGGTAAGGAGGGGGATGCGTCGGCTGAAAGGTGTCTCCCAGGACGGCGCTGGGACGATCAGCCCAGAATTTCTCTTCACACACGCCGACAGCGTCGGCGGTGTTCGTCCTGGTTGCTGCCACGTGGGGGTTAGGGGCATGCTTAAATCGGGCGGAGGTGCTGGGATAGCTCTGATGTCAAGGCCAGGGGGGCGCAAAGGAGGAGGTCTCTCAGGGGCAACGGAGGAGGGCCTACGTCTGGATTGATGGGGCAGTGCAGGGGAAGGAGGGAGAGAGGGAGGAGGGGTGCAAACAATGCAATTTAAAATGAGGCGGATGAGTCGGAGGACCAAATCAAACCCAGCACACACCAATGATATTACAATAGCCTTTCCCACGTCATGCCCTCGCTCCAAGAGTCAACAGAAGATTTCCCGCCGCTCTTGTATACACCCGCCGGCAAGGTGAGAGCCCCATGAGCCTGGAAAGTAGGAATCCGAGATAGTTCTAAATGGCAATCAGCAGTCGAAGTTTCGCATTCCGCCGCGTAGCACCACAGAGCATGATCAATTTAAGAGGGAGTGGCCGTCCACTCACGCAGCTGACAGCCACTTCCAACGAATCGAAACAGTGCACGCGGCGCCAGAGCGAGTGCACCTGGTATGCACATAATCATGTACTACCTTTGCATGCAAGGATCTCTCAGGCTGGGGCCGAACTTTGAAAAACGGTCGCCCTCCACCTGCACACGAGTCGAACATGTTAGCATTTTGGTGGTAGTAAGAATTGAGGAAATACAGCAAACGGCGACAGCCTGATCTTGAACACGACCCGCTCTCCATCCGGGCAATTGCTTTTATACCTCAAGACGTGTGCGCACAGCGTTGAAGCGAGAGTCACATGTTCAACATGTGAGATCGCCTTCCACTAGTGTGTTCGGAGGAGGTGTTTAAGACGAATGGCCACGGCGCTAAGACGAGAGTCCCAAAATCAACAACGACATTATACGCCCATGTAAAGATTGGAGGTGCTTAAGACGAGCTTGCGCGGCGCAAAGGCAAGAGTCTCTCCTCCATCCATATAATCCTAGGAACCGTTTGGTACGAAATTGGACGCTGCCATGGAGAGAGCATCTTTTTGAAAAGGCACAAGTTTCATCCGTGTAGTTCGATGAAGCGTTCAAGAACATTGTGCACGGTGCCAATGCGAGAGCCAATGGTTGAAACGGCATCATCTTCCATACCCGTGTATCTGTCGGGATCGCCGATCTTGGGGTGCAGCAGATTGTGCCGAAGTATCTGGCAGAACTCCCGTCCGCCCTTCCGACCCGCCTGGTGGTGTGATGAGGAAGAATTGTTGCATATGATGATGTGGGATGATGAAGGTGGAAGGGGGGAGGAGTAGCAAGAGAGGAGAGGTGGAGCAGCAGTCGGAGTTGCAGGAGGGAGAAGAGAACGGGGAGTTGAACGAAGAAGCAAGGAAGGAGGGACATGACAGTGGGAGGGGGGAGGAATTGGAGGAGGCATAGGGGACAGAGGGGGGGCAAGACTTCTTCATTTCCAACCATCCTGTGGTGTTGGGTCCTCTTTTCAAAGAGAGTACCCCGCGTTCCGCTCCTCTTTTCTCCTCCTCCCCCTCCTCCTTCCCCCCCCCATCATCAGCATCAGAATCATCAGTCCATCATCAGCATCAGCATGATGATGCTGATCATCATCATTAGAGTCATCATCATCATCATCATCATCATCATCATCATCATCATCATGATCATCATCATCATCATAAGCATCATCATCACGATCATCATGATCATCATCATGATGTTGATCATCGTCATCATCATCATCACCATCATATTCAGCATCGTCATCAGCATCACCATCAGTATCATCATCGTCGCCATCATCATCAACAGCATCAGCATCATCACCATCACCATCACCATCACCATTATCACATAAGCATAATCATGATCATAATTAGCATCATCGGCATCATCAATGCGTCTCTAGCGCCCAGTACAGCGCTTCGTGGCCCCATAGAGAGCTCCACCGAAGGTCCAAGTGGCGGAACTCGCATGCGGTTCCTGCGCCCAGTACAGCGCTTTGTGGCCCCATAGGGAGCTCCACCGAAGGTCCCAGTGGCGGAGCTCGCATGCGTTTCCGACGCCCAGTAAAGCGCTTCGTGGCTTCACAGGGTGCTCCACCTGAGGTCCCAGTGGCGGAATTCGCATGCGGATCTTGCGCCCACTACAGCGCTTCGTGGCCCCATAGGGGGCTCCTCCGAAGGCCCCAGCGGCGGAAGTCGCATGGGTTTCCTGCGCCCAGTGAAGCGCTTCGTGGCCTCATAGGGAGCTCCACCAAAGGTCCGATCCGATGCCCAGTGCAGCTTTTTCGTGGCCCCGCAGGAAGCCACACCGAAGATCCCAGCGACGGAACTTACATGCGGTTCTTGCACCCACGGCAGTGTTTCGTGGCCCCATGAGAAACTCCAGCGAAAGTCCAAGTGGCGGAACTCGCATGCGGTTTTTGCGCCCAGCACAGTGCTTCGTGGCCCCGCAGGGAGCTCCACCGAAGGTCCCAGCGGCGGAACTCGCATGCGGTTCCTGCGCCCAGTGCGGCCTTCCGTGGCCCCATCAGGAGCTTCACCGAAGGACCCAGCGGCGGAACTCGCATACGCTTCCTGCGCCCAGTACAGCGCTTCGTTGCCCCATAAAGAGCACACCTTTCACACGCTTCGTGGCTCCATAGCCTGGGCGCGAGCGGTCCGCAGCCAGACCTTCTCTCGGTCCTGTGGACTCTCGCCCTGGGCCGTCGGCTGGCCGGCGCGCCGCCCCCTCGGCCGACGTCGCCCAGGCGTGATCCTGGACTGCGGCCGCCACGAGGTCGGGAACGGCAAGAAGGAGGACGACGACTGGCGGCTGGAGCCCTACGCGCTGCTCTCGCGCGCCACGCGACACGAGGACCTCCTGCTCATGTGGGCGCCACGGATCGAGTGTTTTCCTGGCAGGGCCGACGGAGGGCTTACAGGAGCAGCTGGAGCAGTTTGCGGCGCGCGCGAAGCGGTGTCAGAGGGAGGCCACGGCCCTCGCCAGGGAGCTGGGACTCACCGAGTTTATCCGCGAGGCCTGACCAGGGC